TGGATCTTCCAACACGATAGAACGTCTGAAAATCGTCTCCCAGAGAAACGCATCCTCGGAGACCCAGGGGCAGTCAGTCGCGCCGGGTTAAAAGGCGCGACAAACGTTTTCAATCATGGGCGGAAGAGCCCCTGGGTACCAACTCTCACCGGACCATTTCCAAACGGTCAAGAGAATGCTGGTTCCTGATTGGGCACAAAAAATGCTTTGTATTATTGTGCCCAATCGGCGAACAGCATCTCCTGAGTTCTTCTCGAGAGTTCGTATACGTCGGCTGTTATTTCGCCACAGTTAGAAACGAAGGAACGAACGATGAGTCGAAAAACGTTTCGGATGCTATCAGCAGGAGCAATTTACTTTGCACTGAGAAAATTCTGTTTCTGACGGATCACAATGCATCGTAAATAATAGGAAGCTTAAGATGAAGAGGCGACTAGAAAGTAAAACAACGCAATAGCTTGACAAGGCAAAACAACAACTTTGCACGTGCATCACGCTTTTTTGTATATTTCTTTGCCCTCACTGCACGACTACCACATGAAAATGCCTAATTTCACGTTTTGTGAAGGACGTAAACAAGCAATGACAAATTTCTTTCTCTTTGTGAACTTGGATATGGTTGATAGAAATTCAGCTCCAGAAGAGTTCGCTTGCATTTGACAAAGTAAGTGAGTTGGAATAATCACGAAAGAGACTGAAAAAATGTGAGTTCACTCTTCATGCGACGTTTTCGTGGTTGTCAGCTGTCGTGGCATATTAAACTCCCGAATATTTACGAAGGCGTGATCGATGCAAGCGTGAATACCTGTTTTCGTGAAGACAGTGGTTGTCTTTGCACCAGGCTGTTAAGTAAGACTTAAGAGCTGCTAAGTTTTACTTAACCAAAAATGCGTGTGTGAAGGCCTAAGCAAAATCTCAAGTAACTTTTCTTTGCGTTTCATTAAAACCGACTTAGTGAACTTGCGGTTTCCAAGCTTTGAGAAAGGCGAAACATGTCAATCAATCTTAATTACGTTGCGTGGGAAAACCTGAAGTAAAAAAGATAGGTTGTGTGTGAAGCTTTCTTCTACTTGAAGAATTTAAAATTTACTTGTCTTGAAATATTTCTTAGCTTATTTAGGCTCTGGTGTAAAGACTACCAGTATTTTGAAATGTAGCGTTTATACCAAACTGAAATATTCCTGACTGCGTGCATTTCTTTGGTGCATGAGCCAGACAAGCCGTGATCGAGTCAATAGCCGTCGTGTACGAACTCACGAAAAGAACTCAGGAGATGCTGTTCGGCGATTGCGCACAATAATACAAAGCATTTTTTGTGCCCAATCAGGAGCTAGCTTTCGCTTGACCGTTTTGAAATGGTCCGGTGAGAGTCGGTACCCAGGGGCTTTCCGCCTGTGCTTGAAAACTTTTGTCGCGCCTTTTCTCCCGGCCCGACTGACCGCCCCTGGGTCTCCGAGGATGAGACAAAAACGTCGATATTCACTTGTGACGAACTAAACTACTACATTAAAAATTTGTTTGATAAGGCAGGTCCAGCTTTGTTGGGGAGAAAATTCATTACTGATCTGATTCAGTTGATTGGTTCGACGTGCCATAAGTTTGACGCGTGACCCAACAAACGATCTTTCACTCGTTTCAAGAGTAAGAACTAGGCGAAAAAATAACTAAAAACATGGCAAGAACAGCAAGAAGGCAACTTGAAGGGCCACATCCGCTATTTGGAGAATGTTTGCGGAGCTGGACAAACCTAAACGTGCACCGATCGAAGATGAACTTAGCATTGATGGATCGATGGAGGTAAGCATGTTTTAGCCATGTTTTTAAACTAGGAATTATTTTGAATGAATAATAAAACAATTACTAAATTCGGCTTTCGTATCGTATGAAGAATTATGGAGATCTCGGAGGGTGTTATTCTTCATAAGATACTCAGCCTCATTCATTAATTGTTAAATAGGTCGACCCAAATTAGAGTTTGGTTCGTCTCCTAAAAAGTTTGACGTTTGCCCTAGGTCTCGTTTACCTTGCGCTTTCTCTTTCTTCTTCCTGTCTTTTCTGATCCTCGTCTAACACTCGGCCTAGCTGTCTGTAGTTCATTTTGGCAACATCCAGTAAATGAAGAAGCTCGTCAATCTTGCGCTTTGCACGACCTCAAGGTAATAGAATGGATAACCGCAATTACTAACAACAAACGGGAGCCAAGAAATATATGAAAGACCAACAGCAATTGCCAGTGACCAAGGGATAGCACTGAACAACAAGGATGCTAGTGATGTCCAAGCGTGAGGTCATTGCCTCCTTCACAGGCTTAGTGGGGAGCACGGAACAAGGGAGAAGTGCGAGACCTGGAGAAAAACGAAAAGCGCGAGAGGAGGATGACGGGAACGAGCGCAGAGCGCTTAAAATCACTCCAGGGCGTAAGGAGCTAGGGCGTTGAAACGAGCGGGGTCGAGCGATCTAGCTGTGATGCAAGGGTCTGGGTACCACCAAAGAGACAAAACAAGATGGCGGCGGACATTATACTGGACCGTCAGAGAGATTATCTAGCGAACGCTAGCCATTATCCCGTGGCATTCATTTACTACGAGCAATAGCGAAGGAACAAATTATTTTTTTCTCACGTTCGTTTTCTGTTTTGTTCAATTTTTCCCCTGCGAACAAACATCTGTATGTTTGAGAGAATTTTGTTTGTCTGTTTGTTTTTTTCAAAAAAGGAGTATTATTGATGGTGCTAATTTTTATATATTTTTTTGAATTTTAAATTTATATTTATATCTTTTTTTTCACTATAGTCAAAGGGCTACGCTCACGCGCCCGGTCATGCTATTTTAACTGTATATAGCATACAAAAGTTTTAACTGCTGCATGATAATCTATCGCATAGCAAAGAAAAAACCCGGGAAACAGAGCTTAAGAAATTTTAATAAGACAATAGGAGAAGAAGGAATAGCAAGTCATCCAAGAGTATAGACTGGGACACAAATCAGTGAAACTTGAATTTTATAGTATATGACTTGATGTATCATAGATATAATCCTAATAAGATATCAGAAGAAGGATAGCAAGTCATTCGAGAGTACAGAGTAGGACACTGAGAAAACTTGAATCCTAACGCATAACCCTCGGGGAAACATAGTCAAACCTCGAGCATCTTCGAGTTGTTTCTCCTTCATCTTCTGAAGAATATCCAAGGAGGAAATCAGAGGCAAAGAAGGAGGATCATAACTTCCAGAATCGTTTTCGCGTCGGAGAAGAAAAGGAAAAGCTAAAGGAGAAAGAACATATGGAACGGAAAGAATGAGTTGCAACACAGGGACCAAACGCAGCAGGACCACCTCCCAAATAGCGTCTATACACTCCCGAAGAGAAAACCGTGGATGTAACGATGAAGATACAGAGACCGAGAGGGACAGTAATAAAGCATGTTAGTGGAAATAGGGTCCTTTCGAAATTCTTGGACGCGCGCTCCTGAGAATTAGGTACTTGCATGTAAACGAGGCTTACAGGACCGCTGGAAAAATAAAAAATACAAATGCATTCACTGTCTTCACCGTAAGTTGAAATGCTCAAAGTTTGCAAAAGTCATGGTGAATTTTTGTTCGATGGCAAACTGCTTGAACAGATCAAGGAATCGTCCGGATCTTTCCTTTTTCTGTTTTCCTTCGGAAGGGCATTTTAGAAGGCTATGGAAAGACTTCTGTAGACGTAGTGATCCCGAATTCCAAAATCAAAAAAACCCTCGGATTTCCAGCGCACACTTCGAGGCTTCTTCCATCAAAAAGTCGCTTTGCGGAAGAAAAGAAGTTATTCCAGGTGAATTACCGAAATATTTTAATCCCTCGACCCGTCAATGTCGTGTTTCTTCCCGTGAAAAGAGACTGGAGGAGGAAAAGAAGTGAAGGACGAACTTAAATCAAAGTTATCAAACAAAAAGCAATTGAAAAGAGAGCTCTTTGTCACTCCACGGTGGATGATGTTTTGAAAGATGACGAGTCTGTCAAATTTTTCACGGGTATGCCTAACCTTGGTTTCTTTATGATGATATTTAATTTGCTCAAGCCGTTTGTAGAAAAGCTTGAGTATTGGGACAAAAACAAATAAAAAGAAGTAAGCTATCAAAAAGATTCAAGTAAAAAAAAGCCTGGAAAGCAAAGATTATTGATCATTATGTACGAATTTATCTTAACTTTGGTGAGACTCAGACTTGGGCTTTTAAGCAGACATCTTACACATATCTTTGGAATATCAGAAGGATCAGTTAGCAAAGTTTTCACAACGTGGATTTGCTTTTTACTTACAGTTTTTCGTGACATTCTTCTTAAATGGCCTTGAAAGGAAGAAATTAAGAAAAAGTTGCCAAGTTCTTTTAATAAATTTCCAAGCACTCGAATAACAATAGATTGCACAGAGATATTTTTGCAAAAGACAACATCCCATAGTGCTCAGAGAGCTACATGGAGTAACTATAAACAGCACAATACTATGAAAGCACTGGTGGGAATCACTCCAACAGGTTACTTCTCCTTTGTTTCTAAACTATGGACTGGAAATGTCAGTGACAGATACATCACGGAAAGAAGTGGTCTACTGGACGAACTTAAAGAGAGGGATTCGGTTATGGCCGACAAGGGTTCAACATCAGAGATCTGCTTACAAGAAAGAAATTTGCACTTAATATCCCACAACTTTGCAAAGGTACCTTTCCAATAAAGGGAGCTAACGGGGTAGGAGTGGAAGAGGGTATGCTAAGATCAAAGAGGAAGTCTCCTTGGACAAAGTAAAAAAAAAAAAAAGACAGATAACAGCATCCATAACTTGTTGCTTGTTAAAAGGATCTTTCTAACTAAACAGAAGAAGTTTCTTTGGAATATTTTTTATATTATAGGGTTAAGTTAAACTGCTCAAAGATAAAGGTAGTCTCTACTAACTTCCAAACATGTTTCCAGCAACCCAGCTTTAAAATCTTGTTCCAGTTCAGTCACATTATAAGGAATACAAATTGGATTAAAATCTCTTAGGTGAATTGGGTCTTTCAATGTCACACCGTAACTACCACTCGTTTGAAGGTCCTGAATGGGCAAACGTCCCTCATTTCTCTTTCCTCTCTTTTTCCACATGCACTGTCCTGATGTACATGATTGGAGATCATTGAATCTCACATTTACTTCTAGATCAAACAATGCTGCAGCTATGTGCCGGCAACCTCCATCTGCCCTGTTTAAAGGAGGACCAATATGACAAATATGTATCTCACATTGTTCACACTGATAGACTGTAAAGTAGCCAAGTCAAGTCAAATCAATTTTTATTTAAACTCACACAGAATAACTATAATTAATATAAATTAGTCCTTTAAAATATAAAATCGAGAGATTGTGAAGGGAAAGAAAATTTCAATTGTAGGTTCATTGTGCAGAGTTTGGGACACCTAAATAGTTTGTGGAACTAACCGAGTAGGTGACCCAAACAAGAATATGAATAGAAGGAATACAGATACAAAATAGTTGTTTTAGATAAAAAGTATTACTTCATTAATTAAATTGTAGTTAAAATAATAATATAATCGTAAAACATTAGGAATCAACAATAGTATTATAACCATCAATCACAGAATTCTTGATATGTCGACGAAAACTGGAAAATGGTTTGATTTTCTTAACATCAATAGATAAAGAATTCCAAAGTTTCTGACTTTGAACTACTGTTTTAATACTTAGTGCTGAAGTCATAAATGATCCAGATGGTTTGAGACTTAAAATAATGCATCCATTGATTTAGATCTTCAATTCAGGAGGCATCTACTTTTTACTCATATTACAACTGCTACAAGGGAAATATAAACCTTCGAATCTGAATAAAACAAAACCTGTCACAGAGAAAAACAACTGAAAAGACCAAACGTTTTGATTCTCAAACGTATGTTTATGGAATATCTAGCACATAGACAGGCTTCAGAAATCAAAAGAAGCACTTTGCATAAGCAGTAGGCTGAATTGTTACTTCCATCCTTCTTTAAAATGAAAAACCCTCTGTATGTTGCTGAACCATCATCAGTCTTGGATTTCTCAGTTGGCTTTACAGCAAACTTTTTTGGCAAACTTTTTAGGCTTTCGCTGTTGTATACGGGATCTTTTCCCACCAGGCAATTAAAAACATCCGGGAATCTAAAGTCCGGTACGTTAGTAAAGTTTTTGGTCCATTGGGAAAAAACACGGTTTTCGTTATCCAACGGATTTGCGAGATCTCCCTCATCGGTTTTAACTTGCTCTTTCATAGAAATTCTTGGATCGACTGGTGCTTCCTCTTCAGCAATTTTTGGGACTTTCATCTCCTCACTTTTCTCACAAAGTTCTACCAGTTCAACCTTACGTTTTCCTGAGCTTTGAATGCCCCTGTTTTTAAGTATTCTTTTAACCAAGGAACCGGTTTACAGTGAAAACTGCCAGGGGCAGAGTCAGCCATCTTGTGTCCTCTAAGCCTCGCTTACATGCGACTACCTAGTTCTCAGGAGTGCGCGGTCAAAAATATCGAAAGGACCCTATTGTTCAGTAACGTGGTTGCGTGGTTTTTCGGTTACAGCAAAATTCCAATCAATTCCTGAAAGAGGCAGAAAATGGGAATGGATTTCAAGGAACGGTTTTATCAAGAAGTAATCAAGAAAGATGATTCCCACAGGCGAAAAAGAAAAGCCGGAGAACGTTGAAGTCTGGATAGACGCTATGGAATGGGAAATAAAAAACGTATGAAAAGAAATGTGAAAAGGAAAACCAAGCCAAACAATAACATGTCCAATGGCGATACTTTGGAGCACTATACATCTTCATACATAACTGTACCACGATAGCAGGAGGATGCGTGAGGCTCTTGCATTTGTTGGTGATAGAAAAGGACTGTAGGTGTAGAACCACCTGCACAATCATACGCAAAAGACAAAAAGTATTTGTGATCGCCAAATGAGACACCTTGTGATTCACGTTTCCAAAGCATTTTGTTAGAGCCTCAGAAATGACTCAGACGTTCCACGACATTGCACGGTTCTGAGGTTTCACAAATCTAACGTTGTTTAAATAAATGCGTTCAATGTCATTCAAAACTGGGAAACGGATGCTTTGCAATTTTATTCGATGGTACTTATCTTTTGTTAGATCCTGTGTAGAAGGAAATGAAAGAAGCCGGCTAAGGATGGCAAACTAGCAGGCGGTTTTGGGATCCTACGTTTTCAAAACTTCTACACTGAGTATCTGGTTTACATTTTAGTGATCTGCGAAGCTATAAGTCGCCGATCGAGCGTGGGTTTAAATTAAAATATCCGCTCGAGTACGACAAAGTTCAGTGACTTAAAACACATTGTTAGCGAGTGTGAATTTCTTTGGGCAAATCACTATACAAAGATATTTTGTTTTTGTGTCCACAGTGGAGCTCCGGACCTTATATATCCAGGAATTTCCTTATATGAACACATTTTGTGGATGCATCTTGAAAAAATCGTACCTACGCACCCAAATTTTCCGTACAACGCTAGAAAACTAATGTCGTTAAGAGTCATTGGGAGAAAGTGTTCTAGGCGCCAAACGTTGTGGTCAACTGATTTGGCTTTAACTTGGCACAGAAGTTGGGTGTGATGAGACATTTCAAAAGCCACTTTAGCTTATTTCTCTGACTTTAAGTTTTGGAGTTACGGGGGGGAGGGGGTCTCACTTTGTGCTTTTTGAGCACCAAAAATCCCGCCTTGCAGGGGGCATTTTAAAAGTGCCATAAGACCCCACAGGTAAATTGTGCTGTCAAATGAGTTTAACCATGAACTCTACTATAATAGAGCTTTCAGTTTATGCTTGAAACTTTATCCTCAAGATATTGCACAGAGATGAGCCTGGGGCTAGAGTTTGGCCACCCAATTATCAAAATTAGGTGAGAAAAATTTGGCTTATTATGGTTTATTGAATTTTTGGAACAAACACTTCATGTTCCTTTAATGCGATGAAAAATGGAATTTTGAGCATAATTCAGGCAATAAACAAACCAAATTGTTGACAAGAAGCCCTCATTCCGTATTTGGTAAGTGAAAATTAATAGTCCATTTTCGAGTTCGCTATGACCGCTGAATTAAAGAAGTGAAGACGTATTTTTTACAGCCTTAGCCTCAATCTGAAGTAATATATTCACAAATTCCAGCGAGAAAAAGACCTGTTTATTACACTGTCTATTGTGTATATTCAAATTTTAAACACTTACTTGCCTGAATTTCTGAATATTTTACTCTACGTCGAGGCTAACCCTGTATGAATGTGTCGTTAATGTTTATATTCAGCGGTAATTTTTAATTCGAAACTGGACTATTGTCAAAGCCAAATCAGTTTCGTTGTTTAGAAATACACCGACTCTTACCTTAAAATTGATCGAAAACGGGCTTCTGGTTAGCCCAACTAACACATGATTTAGCAAAACAAGGGTTATTTTTTTTCTACGAAAACCTATAAGCCGTCATAGAACACAAAAGATGGTGTTCTGACCTAGATATAACGATCTTTTCACAAAATGCTTAACTTTTTCTTTGATTTATTTTCAGATCCATATCATATTTCTAAACATTACTCCAAGCATGGAAAGTCTCCACATTTTGGTAGGCCCATTTTTTTATATTTTCATCAGACAAAGTTACCTTCAACAAAACTTTCTTTAAACATATAATCTTCGTCTGACCTTGTAATAGCCTGTTCGTTATCAAAATTACTCACCAAAGAACGGCTAAGGTGTTTGGACTCACTTCGTCGCCGAATTTGTCATTGGTCTCTACCCAAGTTTTTAGCGCAAAGAATTCATAACAGCAATTTGAATGGACTTGAATTTCTTTATTTCCTTGGCTGCCTGTTTCATCTCTGCTAAAGTAATTTCGCAGTTATTGACCTAGAAGGAAAAATACGGTTATTATAAGGTTATTAATTAGTAGACTACTTTTTAGAGCTGAGAGTGAAATAATGGTTACATAATGGTGAAGGACTTGCCTGCGCGAGCAACTGGTATCTTTCTTCTGGTGTAAGGCACTAAGGCATCTGCGATGGATTTGCTTGATTGACGGTGTCGACAACATCTCCGATAAGAATGGTTTCTGTCCCTTTAATTTTCCGTCTTTGTATATCGCCTCGATTTCTTCTGGCTCTCTCAAGGATCGAGATAGTAGAAGAGCCATCAAAAAGATTTCTGATAATGCTAAATCCTGGTGTTTCTAAACTGATAATAGGGGTTTCCAGGAAACTTCAAATTAAATTCCTTTGCAGCTGTGCTATTATGTGCGTCACCAATAACTCCATATGTAGATGAATGCAATTTAGCAATATCAAGGTCAGCCTTGGATTCGCAATTTTTGCACAAAAAGAAAAGTGCGTCATAATTTCCTTCAGGCATCAGGCTTTCGACAAATTTTTCATCGATTGGCGTTATCCTTCCGCCCTGACTGGGCATTTCCACCTGGCTAACTGGTATTTTGTGTACGCCATCTGCAATGAATAAGACGATATCAATTCCATAACATTCCATACTTAAATGAACTACGTGTAATGACAGGAGTAATTTTACAGGGCCTCGAATGATCCCGACGGCGAAACTACGGATCCCCAACCCTAGCTGAAAGGATCCCCAATTCGCCCCCCAAATGATTCCTGTATCCCAATATGATCCTCATTTCTTTTCTCGTCGACCCCGAAATGATCCCCAATTAATTCTTGGAATGGAATGGTTTACGGCCACGGAAGTCCTCAATAGGACCTGAATAGGCTGTTGTTGTTGACAGTGCCTGACGTCATCTTCAGAGTCAAAGTGAGTTGTATCACGTCAGTTGATGGTATTATACTCTGGTCATTGGCCTGATTGGTACGTCAATTGCGTTGCGATGGTATTGGTCGTCAGTCAGGTAAGCCGTGATCTTATCGGCTATGAAGGCTCGTAATGTCATTGGTGCGTTTCGATCCGTCTATTGTCACAGTTAAGAGTTGGCTATTGTTAGTCAAATTGTCAGTTCTCCAGTCGTTCTCTCGTAGATAGTTTTGCTTGATTTCGTCAATAAGTTGTTTGTACGGTGCCGGTAACTTTTGACTACGATTCAATGGCGATTGTTCCAAGTTAGAAAACCAGCTTTGTAAAGTGAGTCTTTGATAGTAGTCTGTAGAATACAATATACATATATACATACAATATACAATATACACTCACCGCGTACGGCGGTGGATGTGTCGTCAACGTAGCATAACCAAAGAGGTATAGTTCGCGTATAGGTAGCCAGGGCTTAACGTATCAAGAAAAGCGGGTCCAATTCGAAAACAATAGGTATTGTTTTCTGTTGAAAAATTGGCCATATTTGGTCATTTTTGAAATGACTTAAACAATGGTCTCTTTAAACATGCAAAATTCCGATGACTACCGAGGCGGCAAATTTGAAACTTCTCGATATTTCGCATAACAATTTCTGCTACAACAACAGAAGCTAGAGATCTGACGTGATTGATAACGCGCAACCGAAATTAAATCTACAAAGCAGACGTAATAATACACTTCGTCCGACCAAGAGGAAATAACTTTAAGAATCCGGTTGCTATAAAGTACTATTCGTTCGCGAAACGGAAAAATGCATGTATTTCAGGAACATAACAGGAAAATACGGCTTCCATCAGACCTCAACCGTTTTTGTAAATGTTTATTAAACACACCCTTCACTTTGCTGGGACAAGGTAGATTTATTGACCGACACAGCTTAAAAAAAAAAATTATTCACCCAGGCTTCAACCTAACAATACTGCGACTGGGGCAGTAAAATATCAGTTCCTGTTATGTGGATAGCAACGATCAGTCATCTGGCATCCCAGCGGACCGCTAAGGGAATAGCTTTTCGCCAAACAAAGTTAAACCTCGAAATGCACCAGTCAGCCGCGTGGCTAAAAACAGTTATTCCTGACGACATCTCTTTTTCTGATTTTTTTGGCCAAGAGAAAAATCCGAGCTAAACTTTAAACACTCACTGTAAGCACGTTCCTATGGGTTATTTTTAAAAGGATTGACAGTTAATGGTTTTTTAATCAAAAACTCAACAAGCAAACCTTTACTACGTAATTGTTTAGGCATGCTAAATCGAACCAGTTATTCCGGCTGATTTTATTTTTTGAGTTAACCTCAACATATTTTTTTTGTGTGCCATACACCGGATGCAAATATGGCGGACCTCTCGGCCGGCCCGGGTCTAGTTGCGCGAAAGCGAGGCTAGTGAGGCCTGAAGAGTTTTGTTTTGACTACGCGTCTTAGCGATTGAGTCGATCGATATGGTGTGCTTCGAGTTGTTGCATGCCTGAGGGCCACCGAAAAGAAGATTTTACTCTGGCTGGAAAATACTTTACTTTCCCGAAATCTTTTCACAAAGAAAGTTAAGGATTCATGCGATTCGGCGCGACGATGGGAAGCAATTTACAGCAAAAGTTTGCTCGCTTCACTTGCTTTAGATGAGAGGACTCACGAAAGTATTTGAATGAAATAATTTTCACAAGAGATGGTGCTGTTCCAAGATGTTTGCATGGTCTGTTATTTATCCAGCAAAAGGTAAACATTCTCGAGAACGGGAGTATCCGCTGTGGACTTCAAGATCTTTTATATTTCATGCTGAAAACAGCAGCATTAAAATATAACAACAACGATAACAATCGCCTGCCGGTTAATCCTACAAGCGTGGCCTGTGAAACTATGTAAGAACCAGAAGAAAACGACATATTTCAAGAACAGTCCTTGACCAAAGTGCACTGAAAAAACTAACAGAGGAACCGTTGCCAACTAAGAAAGTAAGAAGAAGGAGAAAGGTTCTGGCAGAGAAAGAGCGTGCAATTATTAATTCGAGCATTGTATTTGACCTTGCGCGTGATCTATTTTAGCAAATTGTCGAATGGTTTCGAGATAAACTAACAGCGATTTTCCAAAAATTGCTTCTTTTATGGTACTGCTCAAACTGTTGAACACAGGATCGTGAAGACTATAAAAACATTCGTACTTGTTGTCTGTCGTTGTGTCCCTGAGAGCGCCTAAAATAAAGGTTGGTAAGTCGCGACGGCGGATTCACTCGTTCTCGAGGTTATTTACCTTTCCTTGGTAAGAGAACGGACAAAACAAACTCGAAACAGAACCATAAATCTTTCAGTTATTCACCCATTCTAATAGTTTCGTGAGTCTTCTCTTCTGAAGTGAAGCGAGCACACTTTCGTTCTTATAACTCCGTGGTAGTAGAGTGCTTCCATTCGCCGCACCGAATCGCTTGAATCCATTTCTTTCCTCGTAAAGAACCTTGGCAAAGCGAAGATGATCAACTTTCGTCTCTGCTAGAGTTAAATGTCCTCTTTAATGGCTCTTAAGCACGTAACAACTCGAAGGAAACCGTATTGATCGACTGAATCGCTAAGACGCGCAGTCAAAACAAAACTATTGAGGCCTCACTAGCCTCGCTTTCGCGCAACTAGACCCGGGCCGACCGAGAGATCCGCCACATTTGCATTCGGGGTATAAAATGTTCACAGCCCTCTCTTCTCCCGTGGTCTGGGTCCTTTTTTTATGTTGTGGAATCATTGATCAGAGTTAAGTAATCGGCTCCTGTCAGAGTATGCGGCGTCGATAAGTACTCCTTACCGACCACAGGCAACCCAGGACAGTGACCAGAAGGACGGTGAAATAAGTGGGACGAGAGGGAATAAATTAAGAACACTGTCTAGTTTGGCGGAAAAAATAAACTCAAGCTTCATCCCTACGGGAAGGGTTTTTTGGGTGAGTAATGTTTAAGCTTTTTGTTTCCTCACTGAAAATGCTCCTCTTTCATGCTCCATTTTTCTCACTAAAAATCAGACAGTGACACCAGGTAACAATATTTTCATTTTGTTAATAGCTTTACCCGTTTTCGTTCATATAATTTGATGTAAAACAAACTATCATATACAGTATATGATACGTTTGGGCAAGCTGTGTGCGTGATTTAGCTTTGGGTTTGTGACCTTTTGTAACCCCGTTTTTGAAGCTCTTGATCTTCGCTAACCTCATCACAGCTTTTCTGAATGTGGTGTCGTCGGAATACCGTTGGAATAGATGCAATGATGGCTTAGTCCTGGGTAGTCGAAGGCGGTAGCGTTTAACATCTCGCGTTATATCAACCTTGTCACGGTTTTGGAAGCAATTTTGACGAGTAGGCAACCGCGTGAGACATTGCAGTGTTGGTATGAGAATCTAATGTCCAAAAATTTCCGTAAAACGGCTATTCTGAAAAAAAGGAAAACGAATTGTCATCTAAAGCTTCACTCCTACCGATTCTACAGAAAAAAATTGAGAACGTTACATGCAGCAACTTGCGCTAGCCTGAGAATCACTTTTTAACTCGTACATCTATTCACGAGGTTATGAGGAGCACTCAAGGTTGGTCGGTTGGTTGCTCGAGTGGTGTAAACTTTCGTTGTATGCAAATGAGCCTCGTAATGAGAAGGCGGGTGACTTCGACTCAAGGGGATTAAGGACCTTGGTGAAAGATGTGTTCTGAGAAAATGAATAATTGGCAATATCTCTCGCCAGGAGACCTAGAACAAAATGCACTTTTCCCAAAAGTAAATCTTGAGGTTTTCTTGTGCCTTAACGGTTAATTATGGTCACGTGACCAAAAATTGAAAATGAAGGAAATTGGCAAATTGGTGGCGAATTTTCTTTGTTTCGATAAACAAATTGGTATTTCTGAAAGAGGATAAACATACCCAACTTTCTACGTTTGGAAGGAGTGTACGCGAAGTTTAAAATTAAAGTTTTAAAAATTCAAGGTTAAATTTGGGCATTTAAAATGATGTTTTCCCTCATAATTTTTTATTGAAGTGTAATGGACGGTCATTCCAAAAGTGAAGTGTTAGAAATACTTAATATGAATTAGAAAAATGTTTTTTCCCGATTTCGGGCTACCAACTGGTCAATAATTTACGATTTTTAGCAAAATGGTCACGTGACATGTCACGTGACTTATTAACACAATGTTTATACTTTCAAATTTTAAGGACGATGAGTTCTTTATGTGTACCAAATTTTGATTCAGCGCCGTCAACTATGGCAAAGTTATAGCCAATAATTTTTTTTTTCAAGAATAAACGCCTATAGTCCCTAAGGCCTTACACCACTTGAGGATGGAGCACCATTTTGGTCACGTTTTGGTTTTGTCACGGTTACATGCTCAGCCATGCGCATGTCTCTAGAATTTTTCGATTGAAACCTGTTAGTCCAGAAAAATCTTGTCAAAATTTATTACGCATTTGAAAATGACAAAATGTGAAATGTGAAAATCTGCTTCATCGTGCGAACGAGGAAGCGCACACCATACGCTACCCATACGCATTTAAAAAAGAGTTTTTTGTACCTTAAAAAAGTCTCCTACCAACATTTTTGGAAGTTGGTTAACATTGATAATAGTTTAGTAGCTTCACGAAAAATAAACTGGGCATTTCACGTTTCACGGAAAATACCGGTGAGCAAACCAGTAGAAAATACACTCGCCAATTACAGAAAGTTATCAAAAGCTCCTGTCATCCAGCTCTTGATAACTTAACACTTTAAAAAGTTTTAAAAATGTCAACAGCATCTTGCTTACAAAGTCTGTGACGCACCAAGGCACAAATTTGCTCGTGATCAATGTTCGTGCATATTCCAGTATCTTTCAGTGTAATCTATCGTGCATGTTTTGAAAACCAAATTAAAATAAGGACCAGGCGGGATAGCCTGAATTTCATCAGATTGCTTCGCGTCGTTTTCTGCTCTCAGCAACTGAGGGAGTAACAACGACTCGAAGTAATCGGGTGAAATTCAGGTTACAGGCGGGATAAAATTTTTAATGAAACTTAAAAAATGTGTAGAGAAAACGAGAAATCAGAGGTTGAGATAACAATTGTGCATTTCTACAATCATCGATACTTCTCGCCAACGTTATATGACAACGTCAATCATTCAAAGACAAACTAGCATTAATTCCCTTAATATGGCAAGCCATATTTTCCTCTTCGGTAGTCTTCCAAGGCGCCGTCCTCCTGAGTTCACTGCGAGCTTAATGTTCGAATTTTGGAGGGAAGCGACGGCTTAACCTCTGTTCCAGGCTTGCTCTGCCAGCCAGTCGCCGTCGCCCCGAAAACGTCTCTATCTTAAGTTACCTATTTACAAAGCGAAACGAAAATTGAGCCTGATCTCAGGTTAGCCTGTTCCAGGTCTTTAGATGGTGAGGGAACGAAAAATTAGTTGGGCGCGGGCGA